GTGAACTACTTTCAAATAGTTCCTATTGTAATCAACATCCTTGTGTCCATCTTCCATAGGGTGTTGTTTTCTTTTCTTCTAGAATCTCAAGTTAAAAGGAAACAACTGTCCAGTACACCTTGATTTCCCTTAGTTGTTTGGCTGATATTCATTCTTGAATAAAAGTACTTTGCAATTAATTTTTTATCATTGTCAAATTCGGACTGTCTAGTTATAAATACCTGAAACTACTAACTTTGTGTTAAGAGGGTAAACTATGAGCAGGCCTTCAGTTCACTATAATTTGAGTGTTGCAATGTATTGGGCAGAGCATTCATATATTTTATATCTAATTAAACGTTTATGACATTGCATTAAGTGTACATCATTTATAAAGGCTTGGACTAATCAAGAAGCGAACCTGATGAATTACTTCTTTTTTGTATTCGTAAAAAAATTAGGTAAACGAAATGAGGAGTATGAAATACTCTGTTCTAACTATGGTGTCTTAACGAAGCTACATCAGATATTAAATTCAGCTCCAGTGAAATATGCTTACAAAAGAGGAGTTGATCGTTTCGGTGGCAATATGCATATCATTTAGTAAACTTACTCATAAAATATTTCAGTTAGTAGTTTTAGCTGCCATTGTTATGTATTGCTAATATCGTGGTTAGGGCTAAATGTAGTAGGCTGAAACCAAGTAAACATTGGACTTTAAGTGTTCTGTATCAGAATTCGTTTGACAGAAAGCTCCACCAGAATTCATCTCATGTTTGTTCACTTTTACCAACAAAACATCTCTACTACTTTGTCAATATCTATATTCCTACAGAAATTCTAACCTGCTTCACTTGATGTTGAAGTTAGGTTAACACAAAACCGATTGTACAACTGAATTATTGTATACAAATTGAACATTGATCAGTAATTAGTACAGTTAAGTGGTCATAAATGCTGACCAAAGTCTTTCGATTTCCAGTACTAAAAATGTAAACAGAGTTTACTGTAGTGTCATATCACCTAACAACTATCATCTACAGTCGGTGAAGATATTTAGATTGATGTGTAAGGTACTGTTAGTGCTGTTGATAAACTACACTTCATCAGCTATCACTAATGTAATTTACCTAGTTACCCGATTAATCAGTACTCTACCCAACTTGTAAGTATTGACGATAAACACAAATTAAAAACACTCAGTTAACTGGAAATGCTCTGTGGAGAGCAGTATATTTAAGTAAAGTAAAAATTCAGGATTATTCAGGGAAACAGACTTAGGGCTTATCTAACGAATATGGCTATATTACAAATTCAAAGAATGCTCTTTTTGACAGAACAACAGAAAAGCTCAAAAATGACACTGTGTACATGTTAAAACAAAATCTTTATAATATTGGAAGTTGCGCTACAGACGTTTAAAACTAAATGGCTGCATTGGTCACCACTTTTGCGAGTGTGTAGTAGCAATGCGCTAATAAAAAATCAACAAACTAGATGAATGAGTTTCTGATGACGTCTGAAATTGACATTTAGGTTGGTTATTATTACAGTTTAGATTGTAACATGTTTAAACAGTACAGTGAACAAACAACGTGATAGCATCGATACATTCTTAATAGAAAACAAAACATGTTTTCAGTCAATAAATGTAAAAGTGATAATGTACTTTTAATGCGTGTTGTATTGTATATACCTTTTTATTCACTTTTTAATATGCATATATGACAGGTTTATGAAGGATATATTTGTAGGCCTAAAGTGGCAGGAATAATTAGACATTTCTAATTTCAAGTAAATTTCAGTATTGTGCGGAATGTCTTAGGTATTCATTTTTCTTCGTTTTCGGAAAATATTATCCTAACCATTTAAGTATTTCCAATATTAATAATTATGTTCTAATTGAAAAGTTTGTGCGTAAATTCATTGATTTCAAGGTAAAATTTGTTAGTAACTCTCAAAACCCTTGAGGATGTAACAGTACTCAATAGCTGTCCAGAACACTATCCACTGAAAACTGTATGCCATGAAGGACTGAGAACTATCAAACCACCTATGAAAATTACCACTATTAACTCACAATTGTTCAACTACCCTTATTTTCTTAAGATTCATAAAGTCCTCTAAGTTGATCAACAAGTGGAAAGGAAAGCAATAACCTGATCTGGTCTTAAGATGTTCATTAAACTCCTCGGTCTCTGTATAAATCACGGTAACAACGCAGTAGTTAGACACTGCATTAAATTCACATGCATTTAAGGCTGTTGTTTATTACTTGGGAAGAGGCTAGAATATAAATGGAAAAGTTAAAATTAGTGGAGTTGTATTATAGGAGTGATTATTTCTAAGTTTATTCATTAATCTAAATTTTTTGTCATCAGTCCATTTGTAATGGCAGAAGACAAGAGACTTGGTAACGGAATGCTTAATTTGAATTTGATTTGTCTATATAGGAAAACTATGTACCGCCTATATGAAAATCTTCATTTGCACATATTTTCTGTGTTGTGCTACTTCTGCCCTTCGTATTATGTTTCTTCATCTTCTTTATGTGTCCCCCACGTTTTACCGCAATAATGGCTCACTTGCTTTTTTGATTTAAAGCCTATCTCTCCCCTATTTGAAATTTTTTGCCGACGGACATCTCCTTGTATACTACTGGTAAATCTTGTCAGTAGCACATGCTACACATTGAAGTAAGTGGAGAGACGTCAATGCGACATTAGGCAGTTAAAGACAATAGATAGAAACCAATGAACTTAAGTTTCATGCGTAGAGGCACTTTTCAGCAAGGTGTATTTGCAGTCTCGAAAGAAACAAATTCCCTCTCAGAGGTTTCAACCCTCATAATCGAACACTCCAGATACAGACGTTATCACTGAGTTAGTTGGGACCGAATAATCAACAGCCTTCTGTCGATTGCCTCTAACCATTCAAAATCAAATGAAAGTGCAGTGTAATAACGTCCAGATTTCTAAATTGACTGATGGAATTTAACCAGTACTAAGAAGTAGAGACATAACTTAATTTGTTCTCCAGTGATAAATCAGTATGATCGATAAGATATAATTATGATTATGCTAAGAAAATGACAGATTTCTTCCCATATTACGGTACCGACAAAGTTACAAATGGAAGTTAGCAGACTAAATTAACAATTTGGAGTTTCATGTTACCAAGTTTTACAGTTCGAAACATATGGAAACTCAGTGAAAATCTAAAAGTTACATTAGGGCAGTTGCACAAATAAACGTAAGTCAATGAGGTACAGGGACTGAATACAAACGAACTATCTTGATTTACTTATAGCCATACAGCTTTGTGAATCTCAAGAATGAATCTAAACAACACAAACACACATTATAATCCCGTACCAGTAACGTCAATTTAGACAGGCAGTAGTTGACTGCGTATTAGCCATATATAAGTAATCCAACTTCTCTGACGTCTTTATTCTGCTTACTGAGTACTATAGTCTAAAAATAACTGTGCTAGAAGCCTAGTACTCATACGAATCATTGATTAACAGACACATTATTGAAGGTCAAATTTACCAACTAATGAAGAATAACCCATACGACAAAAAAGTCTAATTCCAAGTCAATAAAAGCAATAACTACTGATGTAAATTAACAGCCCATCACGTCAAAGGTTGTCAGAAAGGGAAATTATATCATTTATGCAGAATTCGAATAAGTTCTCTTCGTAGTGATGCTTACGGTAAAGATGTTGTCTAGGAGGACAATGGAAACTTCGCAGTTAAATCACCCACCTCATAGAACTCACCCACTTCATAATCATCTATACTCTAGTAATTATGTGTAACTACTTATCGCTGAACTCCTATAACTAATTTACTTCTATCTCAGAGTTGGACAGATGTGTTAAGCGGTATGCTTAATATTTTGATTTCCCAAGTAAATCATTCTTGATACTGGCTTCTATTGAATCTTGGAGTTAAAATGGAGATATGTTGAAAGTGAATCAAGACAACAAATCTAACTTCATTTATCGAAATGACCAACTGTTTCGTTATAGTTTATGTTTCTTAATTAGCATTTACGTAATGTTTCATAGTAACTAAATCCACTGTCAAGAACGTTAGTGTTTAGTCATTGACTTAGAACATTATGGTCAATGTATATTAACTTTCACCATTTCGCGATATACCACAACCTTCCAGTGTCACCGGTGGTTAACCATCCTCAAATCCAACAAATCATAAAATAATCTGAAGTAAATTTACTAAATGACTTTGGTTGGTTTAATTTAATCTGTACAATGACTTCAATGTAATGCTAAAAATGTCAATCGACAAAGTCAATCAATCCATGTACTGATTAAAAGTATGCTGGACATTTCTACCTAATTCTCAGCATAATGATAAAAAGGCTTACAATTTGTAATTTATGTAATAGGTGATTATTGAAGGTGCAGTGGAAATCTGGGTCACTTGATGATTCAAACCAGTGACCTCCGTGTTACTTATCTTGTGCTCTACCAGCTGACCCATTATACCCAACTGCTACTTATGTCATAGTTTTACCTCTAATCATCACTTATTACACAAGTAAGAGTCTGCCGATACAAGTCTATATCAGACAGTATCATTATGAATTCATAATTTCTTTGTTCCCATGATGCTTTATGAAACATCTAATTCTCAACGTTAGACGTAAGTACACATGCCCTTATTCGGTCCTTTACTGTCCTTCACAGTTATTTTATTACTTAGCACGCCTAATATCATGCAAAAAGCAAGTACTGACCATTAGGGCTGCAGATACAATTTATTATTACATATAATGTTGTGAATACATGCTGCTGGAGAGTATGATGGGTGAAAAAAGACGAAAATCGTCAACCCTTCCTTTTCTAAGTTTTTTTCACCCCGTGTGTGCAAAGTATCTTTATGCCATTGTGGTTCACGCATATTTATATTCTTTTTCTACAGGACGTATTTGGTGATTTTCTGGCAAACGAAATTCTACCGGGCACAGTTTATAGAATAGATTTTTCAAATGGCTAATGTTTCTGGGTAAGTAAAACATTATTGGCTTATATATATATATATATATTTGAGTGCTCCGATAGGAATTAAAAGTACTATGCAGTAGTGTGCTTTGTTATAGTGTTTGGATTTTGAATAGTTGTAAAGCGCAGAATCTTCTGAAAGTATTATGCGAGGAGTGTATATAACTAAACATAGAGTATTAATTAAATAGGTGACTTCGCAAGATTATGTCAAATAGTATTAAATTGTGTTCGAAACACTTTCCAAATACTACCACCATTGGTTATATCAAACAAACTTACTGAATGTGGAATGAACAGTTTTTCATCAGTGGAGCTGGAGGAGAAAATGTTCTCTGAAATTAAAATGTCACTCAAAAGGGAAAGAAGATCAAATACGGCTGGCTAACAGTTGGAATCAATGGATCAACGCAGGGCGGGAAATATCACTAAAATAAGTGTTGATTAGGCTGGTAACTTAGTTATAGTGACCGAAACTTCAATACATGTGTAAATCTTTTGTTACTGATGGAGAGAAACGGTCAATCATAATACGGGCAATAGATTATAGTTAGGAAATTGAATTTATTGATGAGAGGAATGTAAATCTTTTGAAGATTACCACACAAAGACCATTTGAAATAAAATAGTTGAATTCTGTTTTTGAACCGTGATTTGACTTATCCTTCACTTTTGTTGGTACTTATCACCTAGGTAACAAGTGATTCTTTTGTTAGATGTGCGAGCTTGTACATTGGATAATAGATAAATGCAAGGAGTGAACAAATACATGTAAGAGGTTTTCCAACGATTTCCTTTTGTGGCGTGAGGCAAAATTATAGGAAGCCGCCAAAATTGAAATCAACATTTTGAGTCCATCACTGCAGAGGTAGAAGTGTTAACTCCTCGAATTTGGATTCAATTTACATTGTGAACATGAAATAACCTCATTGGACAACTTTTCGTCTCATCGTTTAACCTTGGTCCAACCAATGAGAACAATTTATTCACCTCTGACCTAGCTGAAGTTTAATGTGGCTAGTTTAAATGTGAAAAGTGTACAGTTTTGATTTCTGGAAGAATCTTTAATTTTCTGTCAGTCACCGATAGTGCTTCACTGCTACCACTTGATTTATCCACTTCTTGTAATCATTCAAGAAAATTTACAGTGCATTCTAATGCTAAGGAAAGGAGCATTCATTTGATACGTGGCGTTTTGATTGGCTTAAGTAACTTGATAACTTTATACTGTCTGCCATCTATCAGTTGACAAACATACTTTATGGCGTATTTCGTTATAAACTGGTATCAACCCGATAAGTACTTATGATAAAGTCAAAATTGGGAAGCTGTTTTATTGTAGTGTGGAACTCTTAAACAGTAGTCATTCGCAATCCTATTAGATTTTGACCCCTTAACTGAATGGTAACAAGATCATATAGTGATCTGATGGTCCTATGACCCATCTATCTATCACAAGACTGTAAGGTTACTTTGCTGCAGAACCCCAAGCTAAGACCACAAAAAAGAGCGAAAAATTGAGCAGTATTAAATAACGTCATTTTTTGATTTGAAAATTAATTTGCGACTTACAATTTACGTAGTCTGAGGTGAAATTTCACTACAGTTTCCTTTGGAAGCCGAAATTATTCAGGTCACTATATGCGATCTGCTTTACACCATAAATGGTAATCAAGAAAGCAAGTATAGATATATAACTCTACATACTTCTGATTGATTAATATAAGTGGGTGGAAGCCAATAATGTCAACCAGTAGTGCTTTCTAGCCACATCTATGTGGTTGAAACACTATTTCAGCTCTCTAAGCTCAATCACATCAGATATACCACTGATGAGCTCGGTTTCAAACCAGCAAAACTGCCATCCAGTGTTTGGATCACCTCAACCTAGCTACCAAGCGTTACTTCTTGATGAGTACTGTACAACTACTTATATTAATCAATAGACAGTATATTTCGCTTCATAGTGTCATTTCATTTCGTTGATTCTTGGCAGCCCTAAGACAACTGAAATTTCAATTTTCAAAATATTCACATACTTTAGTCAGTTATTTCGATGATTATAACTGTTAATATTACCTGAATGAATGCACTAAAGGTTAAGAGAAAAGCACTGTAGTTGACATTAATCTTGTTGGTACATATAGAAAAGTTACAAAAGTATTCTGGAGTCAGGAATGGAAGCTGAATATTACTTAAGGGGCTTTAAAAATTAGTGGCACATATTACTCATGCGTTATCAGTTCTGATGATTCAAAGTAATTAAAAAAATAGTAATAAACTAAATAGAGATTGAATACTTTTATCACAAGTATGGATGAAGACAAAAAAAGCAAAGCTAACAGTACGAAATAACTTTTCCAAATTGAAATAGAGACTATTTTACTGTGATATGGAGAAACGGAAAACCGTTTCTTTCACAATGCATAAGCTGGCTTCAGCGGTTTGATCGCTACGGTTCTGGTGATACGTAGAAGACTGAAACTAAATTCAACTATGTTAAATGATTTTAAAACTTCAATCTCATGGCTACTATATGCTGAGTGATGACTGGTTGCACTAGTACTGCTTTACTACCAATGGTTCTCCAACCAGTTTTAGTTGACGTCAGTGTCTACTTTGAAATTACTGAAATGTTTATTCGTATGTTACTGATATGTGTTTCCATAAAAATAGTCTGATTCAATAATTTTCCGTCTATTATTTTTATTGACTATAGTTTTGGAGTAGCACGTTCTCTAATTCATGCATTCGATCCACATGGAAAACGTTATAGACCGTCTGTTAGTCCTACACCAGGTTTCTCAGCTTCTGCTGATGCTGAAAGACTTCACAGAGCCATGAAAGGACCAGGTTAGTGATGATCTTCGATTCTTTTAGACAGTCACATATATATTATATATACATAATAAATACTTGATTTCAGTTAGAACATGTAGACAATCATCCGGAAACCGACAGTATCTCGTCCAAAAATAGATTGCAATTCCTGTACTCTTATGTCTACTGTGAGACCTTGAGTTTACAAAGGCCTATTACGGCACAGGTTGCATTATTTCTTGTATCTTAAACAATGGAATACTTCCATAACTGAAGTTTACTCCGACAAATTTGAATTCAGGTAGATAGGTCAATCAACTTAATAGTTCTCACAGATATGTAACATTTTGAATTATGACACTATGAAACAAGAAACAGATGTGGAAAAATCAACGTTAGAATGATACTGTAGATAAACGTGAATGCGAAAGAATAGTGAATAATTAAGTGAAAATTAGGGACAATGTCTAGAGCTTAGGAAATGAAGAGTGAACACGCATGCACCATTGTTAATTATTATAAGAGGCGTCAACAAAATCTTCAGCTGACAGTTCCTACTATCCAAAGAATCTCAACCAACTGTCAATCGGTATATGCATTACTAAATTATACGTATTAATCACTTTCTTATGGTTAGGTGACTAAAGCTCGAATCATTTGTATTGAATATGAGTTTTCTTGAGTCAGTGAAGTTGACTAGTGCGAACAGGTATGCTGTTTATCTTCAAAACTTTCCACTGACTGCTTTCAAATGTCTAACACTAGACAGATTGTGTCACGTTAGTGAATTTGTTAGCAACATTGCAAACTTGGTTAACATAAGATAGTCAACACGAGATTAGACAGATGTAAGAGATAACAACCAATAAAGACTAAAGGGTATGGTGGTTAACATAAATTTAGTTCAAAGGGCTTGTCACTTTTTCATTCGACTTTAGAAATATTAATTTCCTGGTGGTATAAAATAGGTTTCATTTGATCTATTATTCACCTTTTGGGTATACCTGCATTCTTGTCTGTTATAGTGTTTCTACTTAATCTCTAAAGTAACACTTGTCTTTTTAAACTTCAGACAATTATAAATTAGATCAGTAAGCCATGAAATCCACCAACTTTGAAACAGTTATCAGTATGCTGCGTAAATTATAAACTGATTAACTCAAGCTCGTATAAATGAGAGATGGGAAAGATCGGAAATCCCCAGAATAAGGAAAACGTGTCTTCTCTAACTAAGTGGATGATATTCTGATATTTGAGAGAGTGCATATTGGGTTTGGGCTGTATGATTACCAATATCCTCTTGAGTGCCGATTACAAAGTAGGGCTTCAGACGCACATCTCCATTCCACTTTATTCCCTTCGATCCTCTTTAGCTGACCACATGATCGCCCATAAGCTGTCATCTCCTCCTCACACGAACTCCACCATATATCTGCTGGAGGCTCAACTCATTGTTTCTCATTCAGGTACCACCGCTACCATCACCAAGCAAATTACATGAAAGTGAAAATAATCAAAATAACGCTTAGGGTGTGCATGCATGTATCAACAAAGGCTGGCCAATTCGAAATAATTTCGAAATATAAATTCCACTGGCAATTTATGCATGAAACCTACATGAAGTGCTTATACGGTAAAGATTACATAAATACAAAGTCTTCACAAAATGATACATTACTTGACTATCTCTGTTGTGTAATAACAGCCCTCACATGGTAGACAAACATACAGAAGGTAGACAAGATTTGTCTACTGGGAATAGCTCAGTTGAGAGACAACAAAATAAGTAATTTGGCATGACGTGTATTGGATCAAATTTCGTGTGTCTAATCCAAGGAAACTCTACAGATGACCTGAAACTAGGGCAATGTTAATTTAAACTTTGTAACAGTTAGTATAAAACTAGACATATTTTCTAACTGTTCTTTGTACATAGTAATTAGAAAATAGAGATAGTTAGACAGACAAGTAGACAGATCAGTAGTTGGACTTGTATAGTGCTAAGAAATTTTCAGTCAATACAATTTTGTTTCGTTAGTTCTATAATTGGACTGAAAATGGATGGAGACAAATTACAAGGTTATACTAAATGCTCATATGGTTACCGTTTCTGAAACCAGTATAACGAAGAAATTCAACTTGTCGTAGTATACTACTAGCAGCTGATGTGAGTAATAAGCTTCTAACTGTTCATGCAGTAGATGGTACTTGTAGTCAGTACTTTTCTATAACATTTCGTTTAATAGATATATCTTTATTTTAGGGGGTTATTCTGAACAAGTGTTGAATCTTTCCATCGCACGTATTCTTAGTTGCCTGGAGAAATATAGTTTCAGTGGTCAACCTTTTCTCTCCACCTCTCTTAGATAGTTAACATAACTGTCAGTTTTTCCCATTCTTTGCCTAAGCCAACATAAATGGAAATTTCGGCAGATTTCTCAAATTAACGGAGTGTGTTAGTTCTGACTCACTTTAATCTCAGTTTTCGAATAGTCTGACTGACCATGACCTGCTATTCTGACCTATGCATTCAACGTAATTCCCTTCGCATGGTATTCTATTAGATCCTTTAGCTGAAAAGGCTTTTTTCTAAGTGACTTTTGAGGGTCATATACAACTGCAATATAGGAATAAAATATTAGTATTGTGGTAGAGTGTAGTTCCTTATTAGGTTGTTTTCTTTGATATAGTGCACACTGATACCTTTTTATTTACTTTTAACTCTTAAAGCTCAGTTTATTGTTCATAAGGCTTATGTGTATTTGTGAATTCTCCAGTTGAACTTTGAACAGAGATACTACAAATCTCATTGTTGCAAGATAAAACTTGAACATCGTTACAGAGTGTGATTCCATTCCATATGGTCGATACGGTTTCAAGCTTAGAACTTCATCAATAATTAATATCAATCAATGTGTGCAATATCTAGTAGAATGACTGAATATGAGATCAGTGCCAGTTTTAAGTAATATTTCCGAAGTTCTCGTATCATATGACAACACTACTGCTAATGCTTCGAATTCCTTTTTTCTTGCTGTTATTAAAGTCTTCGTTACAATTACCAGTCTCTAGCTATAAATTCCCATAATTATATTGGCTCCAGTGAGACAAACCGCACTCTGTCATGAGGATCAAGCCAACACTCTTTCACTTCATGCATCGATATCACGAAGTGGTCTTACCAGACGTTGTTTTCTTCTAGTCAAATCTTTCCTTGACGAACATACTGTGTAGTGTATGTAGCAGTCACATAGGGTGATGAGGATTTACAAATTCCTCTGCTGACTAATCGAAGACTGTTTAGTCTTCACTCACATCGTCCACACGATTATTCCATCGAGCATTGCTAATACTGTGAAAGCAACTCTCATTGAATAATTGAATTCTTTGCAGGCCTTCTACCATTACTGATTGTATTTCACAACCATAAAACTAGGATTGAGCAAAATGCTGTGCAATACAACCGATCTTTATCGAACTATGAGACAATCCCCAGTATACGAATGTCAAAAGCAGCCTATTGTATTCTCATCACTTTATCAGGAATAACAATGGGGGAACAACTTTCAGTATTTTTTAGTAAAAAATCGTTTTACGTGGTAAAACGGTTCATTATTCCTGGGTGATTTGAATTTAGTGACAAATGTTTCGATACTACTGATTACATAAAAAGTGTAGATGTAATTTGCAAATGATTTCTCACTCTGTGACTTGATATATATATGTATATATATGGGTGGTTATATAATTATAAGACATAGACTACTTATTGCTGTGAGCAGTTAAACCTACTCGCATTAATAACTGTTGCTTGTTATTCAGACACTATATGACCACTTGTAGATTAGTTCTAATAGCTCAGTTCTTTGTGAATTTTTATTGACTCTGACACTGCTCAAAATTGTAATGAGAGCTTCATTCATTCAATTCAGAGTGCTCACCATCAAAAAGGTATTACTCATGACCTAAAAATATTCTCCAACATTCTGAAAAAGAATTCAAAGGGAATTAATTCATAAAGTGTAATGGGTTAAAAGTAAACTAAAATGATTAGCAGACAAGTGACCCAACCTGTAATTGTTTTAGCAACATATTAAGCAGGCCTAATGAATAAAGTGATTTCTGAATTGATTTTATTAGATGGTTGGAAGCAACAACTATTCGGAGTACACCATGATGACGAGCCACCCAGCATGCTGGCCACATCGCAAACGTGACTGACAGAATTCTGTTTGCACTAAACAAAGGACTAGACGCGTGATATTAGTTATTAGCTAGTGTCCAATCAAAGTGGTTTCAGAGATCAGTTTTGTAGTTTAAATCGTAAATCGACAAAATGCATGAAGTCAACTGCTTGAGTCCAGCTCACCTGAAACAAGGAATTACAATTTTTAAAACGACCGGTACTAACTTTAACGCATACTGTTGTTTTCATCCAGTAGCCTAATAGCGTTAACTGTTGATTAGATTTCGACATCTACAATAATAAGTACTAGATTCAAGCGTCAACTAAAAGTTCAATAATTATGGAGATGTGAATGAATTCATTTGGTGAGTTATACGCATTGTCAGACTACTAACGTATTCTGAAGAAGTTCCATATTAGTTTGTCAGTATCTTTTCAACTTCTTATCACCTGAACAAATGAAAATTAGTAGTTTTATTACGATTTCAAAATAATTTAGTTCGTTATAGAAACTAATGTCGGACAATAGTTAAGAATGATCATGGTATATAATAGATGAATCGATATTTTAATTTAGTAAAGTATAATTAGTTACTTTATTTATATATGTAATGTAACAGATATCATTCGATAAAAAGAGACTAGAATAGCAGTAATATATTCAGGGTCATAAATCATTAGATTACACACACCATTAAAAAACTATTAGTAGACGAATTAAATATTTCCAAAAACCGCTGTGATTTAAACCCATCACACATGTGAAGTATGGTATTTAATCATAAATCAATTCTTACATTGAGTAAATTTAAACGTTAGGAGCGAATTTACCAAGGTAGAGGGAATTACTACGGATTCTTTTTGAATACATAAATCAGGTCTAAACTGTTTGACCCTCTGGGAACTTCAAGAGGATTGGACTTGCTTGTTCGTTTATTATTTTGAAGGAATTCAAGATGTTTACCCGATGTTGTGTGTCAGTCAGATGTCTCGTGATTCCATTCTTCAAACTTTTACTTCCTCATAATCAAAGACTTTTCGGTGCGTTAGAAACTCTAAAATGGATTTTCCTTTCTGTTCTTCCAATACATCTCTTTTGGCTTCTGCAATTAAACTGATATACACAATTGGAGCTAATAAAGAAAAAGTGTATCTTTCGACATTTGAACGAACTAAAGAAACATATTATGCGGTGCACAGAAGTCAATCTAGCTACAGGAAAAGTCCTATTCTGTCATTACTGTTGGTCACTTCTGTAATGCCATCCTCATTTAAATGTCAGATGAACAAATTTACGGTTTTTTATTCATATTTTCCAGCTTTGTCGGTACATGCTTCCGGTATTCGTTGTCCTGTAGGCATCTTTCTGTGATCCACAGCTCCACCTCCAATTCTCAGCCGAAGCACACTATTCTTACATTATAAAATCAGGTTTAAAGTAGTGCTGGCTTGCAGTAAATGGGACAAAAACGATTAAAATTCAGATAACTTCCGTCCCATCTCCTTTTTCCGATGAAGACATCTCTTTAGTATATTGCCTGTCCTTTGTTTAATGGTAACATGAAGAAAGTTAAATTTTTCATCAACTTTTTGTTCCATGGTGAAATCAGTGTTTTTGTGAACGCCTCTAAAGTTTTCTTAAACATGGGATTCATGAGATAAATCACTACATACAATAAAGGTGTTACCAACATAGCTAGTGTATGCTGTCATTTAATGTCCTGTTCTTTGGATTCATCATGAAAATATTTGCCTGTATGGGACCCAACTGGCCTCCTATCTCTACACCACCAAACTGTTTTCAAACTGGAGTAGGATGTCATTATTGCATATTAATAGTAGGCATTTGAGTTTTGAAGACATCACGGACAGAGGCTCAGAGTTCTGGCATGTAACATATATAGATTCATAAAATCGTACATTGGTGAATTCACTGGAAGCATTTAAATTGTTCACTTTCTCAGCCTATTGAAGCGAATCCTCCATGCTGTACGAAGGAAGCTAACCGTTGGCGAACAGGCTCCATTCTTTCAGCCAGTCAATGTGTCACTTTGTGCTGTGGCGAATTTATCATAGATAAGTGTCGGCGTAAGCGGGACCCCCTCCTTGTGTAACTGCTAGATAATACGTATAAGGTACATGGAGACCTCTGCGCGTCACTTTGTAATAAATGGAATTACTTACAAGATTTTTTATCAAGATGTATTTGAGCATCTTTGTCATTCACCTTCCAGGTGAATCAGTCGGATCTTCTTCACAGTTATCAGTACTGAATTTTAGAAGATTTTTAAGGATCCAGTTTGTTTTGACAATGAAGTCTTCCCTATTAACTACTACAACACTCAAACCTATATCTGATCTTAATATTACTGTTTCAACGAAGCAGAATTTTTTGTCATAAGGCGTAGTTAGAAACTGAAAGGTGTGAAGAACATTCAACAATTAAATTTTCAAGGAAATAAAAATGTAAGGCTTGATGGCTTCAAAATTATCGTTTTGTAGATGGTTCTTGTAGCCACCTTTTTGGATCCCCCTGTAAATTGACTTTTCATCTCAACTTCAGTCACCTGCTAGCGACAATATGACAGCATAAATACCCCCAGTTTGAGTGTGCGCCACTTAGACACCGGTAAAAACGAAGAATTTTTTGATGCAGTAGGCCGCATTAAGCAGCATAAAATCATGGAAATACAATTTTATGAGTTTAATTTTGAAGTCTAAAGCTTATATATTATTGTGGAACAACATTTTGCTGTCCCAGACTAATAAGAACTTTGAAGCCATATAATAAAACACCCCATCAAAGTTTTACTAGCCTATGATTTAATGTCAGATACCTGAATAATATATTCCTTATACCATTACTAGAAAATAACAACTCTACGGTTAGTGTCATTGTTAGAGTATCTCATAAACGCACTTGTTATCATCATGTCAAATGACACTTAATTTTTAAAGTTATAATTACCTCACATAGTATTTCCATTAACAATAAACCTTCTCCATTGACTGTTAAGATGTAACACTAAAGCAAAATATGCAACTAAATGCATAGCAGTATAGTGCCATTTTTAACTTAATGACCACTTTCCACATTTCATCAATAGACTTCAACCAACACTTTGAACTAGACAGATATACCGGTTAATGTTCAGTAACTAATTCTTAGGTCAATCGTGACTAAGATGGCTTAGCGGCAGTGTTAGCAGTTTAGGCATCGGTTGACAACAGTCAATGTCTTACACGGAAAATGAGCTTTCCATATCTTCTCATAAAAATCTAGTTTCTAATCTCTTTTTTCCAGTTCACTTCCGACATACAGTAAAGGATGATGATGATGATGATGATGATGATGATGATGATGATGATGATGATGATGATGATGATGATGATGATGATGATGATGATGATGATGATGATGATGATGATGATGATGATGATGATGATGATGATGATGATGATGATGATGATGATGATGATGATGATGATGATGATGATGATGATGATGATGATGATGATGATGATGATGATGATGATGATGATGATGATGATGATGATGATGATGATGATGATGATGATGATGATGATGATGATGATGATGATGATGATGATGATGATGATGATGATGATGATGATGATGATGATGATGATGATGATGATGATGATGATGATGATGATGATGATGATGATGATGATGATGATGATGATGATGATGATGATGATGATGATGATGATGATGATGATGATGATGATGATGATGATGATGATGATGATGATGATGATGATGATGATGATGATGATGATGATGATGATGATGATGATGATGATGATGATGATGATGATGATGATGATGATGATGATAGTAAGAATTCATTTGTAAACAAAGGAAAACAGATGCCATACCGCATCACAAAAAACTCTATGAAGGGTTTAAAACTATAGACGCGACGGTTTGTTTGCGCTTTAGTCTAGATTTACCAATAAGTTGACTAGCTCATTCACCGGTGGACAGCAGATTATATATAGCAAAGATCTAACTATAAGCCATTTTATAAACAAACTGACCAATAACTATGGTTACTAGTATTAAGATTTCACGACATACTTTTTGTCATATTGTTGTTAGTTTTATTTTATTTTTTTAAAACTTAATTCACTTCCCACTTGTCTTCTATCTCTGCATCCACCTTGCCTTATTACGCAAGACTAAGCATAAATGTCATTTTTATTGACTATGGGACTATAATAAGAATGAGAAGCTGTATGTGTGTATATATGTGTGTATATGTTTATTATTTCCGTCTGTTTTATAATAATTATGTATTAATTTCAGCTGTCAATTATACACGCAAAACTATGCTTGTTTTCACACAGACTGTCGCCAAAAATTCTTATGCATATTCCTAATTGAGATATAAATTATCAGTGGACCACTGTGACAGTGTATTAGTGCATACATTGTAATGGCTGAGTTTTTCTCCATCTGTTCATTTGTTAATCATTATACAATCAGCTAAATTTCTATGTCCTTATTCCGATAACCTAATTTACCTCGATCTGCCAGATCGGCCTATGTAATTGACCTCACAGTCATTCGAAGATATTGTGTGTAGACTACCTTAGTGTATTTAGTCCCCATAGAAGTGATTAATTAGCAGTAAAACTACTGACTATGACATAAATAAGGAGTTTAAAACATTCACAGTGTTGTCATATGAAAAAGGGACATCTGAAGCAGGACTTAAGATGACATTTCAACCATACAAACGCAATCGGGGACAGACTCCGTAGGCTGAATGCTCTGCTGACTCCAGAAGTTAAAACAAGCTAATGTAGGAGTAGAACCTGGGTATTGTGGTAGAGTACAGCTCCAGAGAGAATTGGTAAGGAATGTTTACTTGGAATTTGGTCTCTCTATATAGCGAAATTATGAGCACCTGATCTTCAAATCACCATTTGCACTGATCTTCTGGCCTTCATATTGTGTTTCTTGTGCTACTTTCATGTCTCCCATGTTTCCCCGCAAAGCCGAATCGTTGCTTTCTCTGACATCAAATATATCTCCTTGTTATTTGATGTTTTTATGCTGATGAACATCTCTTTATGTACTACTGATAAATCTTATCAGTAGTAAACACCACAGATATAGTACACAGTAATACAGTTTTAATAAATGGTCATAATCAGATCTCATAAGTTGCCCTAAATGGCTTTACTACCTGTTGTTTTATATTGTGATTTTTCATATATCCAGCGTAAGTGTTTCATCATTTCGATAGCATGTGTTCAGTGTTGATTTGATAAGCAAACATTCCAGGATAATAATAATAATAATAATAATAATGGCTTTATTCCAAACAGTATTTGTGGTACAGGTATGGAATTTTCAGCGTGCATTACAATATTGCATCTAATTACCTCATAAATTTTATAAGGATTTAAAAATATAAAGCAACAACAACAAAAAGAGAAATAAAAGAAATAAAAAAAGAACAGCAATGCATTCACATATTTAAACAATGCTCCACAAGATATGATATATAAGATTGGTCTGTAAATAGAATATATGAGCAACAATATAATAGTAACAAAGAAAGGAGAACAAAAGCTAATGGGAACTATTTGTTAGAGTGCCGCAGTAAGTTGATCGTGTCGTGCCTAACAGTTTTCTCATCACATAACAGCTGTGCCAGGTAAGGTATTGTGGAGTTTTTATACTTGGTAGTCCTGGCATATAGCTTCCTATAGTTGCTTCTAGTTCTACCAGATGAAATGCAAGGAGAGAGCTGCGTGTGGAGAGGGTGTTCGGGGTCTGACAATATAGAATTCGCTAGTCTCTTACATGACATTATATGTCTATCCACAATTGTGTTAACCAGTTGGTTTAACGAAATCCCACTTCCCCTACTAACAGCTTTTAGTGCCCTATGCAGCGAAGCAAAGTCTTTCTTAAGTAGTCCAGGGAAGATTAATGGGGAGCAGTAAAGAGGGATGGGTAGAATACAGGAATTGACAAACTGAGAAAGCAAAGACTGCTTTATACCAGACTGCCTAAACTTCCTAACGTAGAACGTTAAGCGAAACAGCTTTCTAGTCACTAACAAGATGTGAGAGGACCAGGAAAGATCGGAGGAAATATTCAGTCCAAGGTACTTGATATTAGATGTAGTTTCAACCTCTATGCCGTCAATGATAGTGGGACCATGTGAGCTAGCTAGTTGTTGAAGGTCACTTTTTCGTCTGAAAGTAAAATTTACTACCTGACATTTAGACGGATTCAGCTTAAGACCGTTTGAAGAGGACCACTGACTAATTTCTGAGAGAAAGTTATTTAATATGGAACAGTCTGACTGAGAGTTGACAGGCATGGAGACAGAGAGGTCATCAGCATACTTGACAAAATTTGCTACATCAGAATGGGGCAAGTCATGTAAGAAAAAAGAAAACAGAAAAGGAGAAAGAACAGCACCTTGAGGAACACCAGCTAAAGTAAGTGAGGTAGTGGAGGACTTTCCATTGTAGACAGTGTACTGCTTCCTATCAGAAAAGTAGGAATACAACCACTTATTTATCCAGCTCTCGCTATGTGTTGCAGCAACCTTACTTAGCAAGAGAGACCTAGGTACAGAGTCAAATGCAGATGTGTAATCAAGGAAGGCACACCGAACATATTTGGCTCCTCTATCTAAACTAGAGACTATATTATGATACAGAACTACAGCAGCATCTAAGGTACACCTACTATGTTTATAGGCAAACTGGTTGGGGTCATTAAAAGGCTTTAAAGAGGGTTCAAGATTAAGTAAAATAAGTCTTTCCATAACTTTTAAAAAAGGTGAGGTAATAGCGATGGGTCTAAACTTGACAGTAGGTCCACTTGTTGATTTGGGCACTGGAACAACCTTGATATTTTTCCATGAGTCAGGAATAATACTTTTGGAAAAAGATTCATTGAAAATGTCGGTTAATGGGTAACATAAGATGTCAGCACACTTCTTAAGGATAACAGCAGGAACTCCATCAGGACCAAGGGACTGGGTAGGTTTGAGAGATTGAAGACACTTGAGGACATCATTCGTATTAAAACATGAGAAGCAGTCATTATTTATACTATTAGATTTGGGAATCATAACATCTGCAGGGATAAATATGAAGGATTTTTTAAGCATATCAACATCAACGGAAGTATCATTCATTATTTGCTTACCACCTGTGATTTCCTTTAATAGCTTCCACATATTAGATGAGGATTTACATGAGAGAAACTTCTGGTTATAGAGAGCATTTAGTCTTTGTAATTCGGCTTTAATTAAAGTGTTCATTCTCTTAACGCCAGATTTATTTCTCATTTTGTACAACCTCTCTTTTTCACGGCGAAGCTTTTTGAGTTGAGAAGAGGCGAAACGGTCGAACTTTAAGAAGATAAACTAGGACGGTTAGCCATGTTAAGTTAAATAATCAAGAAAAAAGGTTGGTCATTGGCATGCATTCACTTGTATGTAATCACACAATACGGTGAGAGAGCTTAAAAATATTAAGAAGTTATATAGTTAGGTGGTGAGATAAGTCATTCACTGAATGTGATTATAATTACAGTTAAACATCAAGCTACAAAACAGGTTATGTGCTTCATAAAGCAGTTTATGGAATGCATAAATCTTAGAAGAGGTGTAGAATCAATAGGATTAATAAGTAATTAAGATATTAGGCAACAAGGTTAGAAGTTCCGTAAGACAATATTGCAAAATATTATACTGAAATAAATAAATGAAGGGTAACAAGGGATAATACCGGAAATCATTCGAAGTAGAAATAATAATAACAACTGAAATAATAATTGGGGGCTATAGTAGTTTAGCATAGACTGGCTAAGACCATGAAAGAAGGAGTAGCTGAGCAAACTTCTGTATACAGAGCTCTGGTATTTTTATTTAGATGACCAAAGTTACAGAAAAATAGATGAGTCGGACACGTAATGGTTTCGGCAGGTTATTTTTCAGCTCATCGATATCTTTAAAGGAAGAGACTGCAGAGATAAGGAGACCAGGTATTCAATTATTGCGCTTATTATAGCTTCACTTCCACCTGTTCCTAACTACGCAGGATAGTGTTCTTCCATCCTTTTTGACTAAAGCTCAGTCGAACGACCTACCTACCTAGCTCCACAAGATCAGGTGAACTAGTAAACACACAGAGTTGGTAAACTGTGGGTTCTTCTCCTTCAAGCTACTGAACAGCAATGTTAGACTGGAAAGCATTATTCTCTAATGTGCTTCAGAGAATATCCTTCCTCTTAGTATATCGGCAGCTAGGTCACCTTGGAAAGCAAGGCTAATATGTGTTATTGTCTTGGATACAGACGTAAAATCACTTTTCATAGCTTTTAATTGTAAAATTTTGTCTATAAAACCTAAAGGATATTTTCTATCAAGATTTTTCTTGAAAGATTTAATTCTTCCTCGTCTAAGAAAAAATTAAATGATATAAACAAAATCTGATGTGATTATGATCAATGAAGTGTGTTCTGTACATCAATCGGTAAATAAATCAGCTGTATCATTGCTTACTTTACCGAACAAAATTATTTTATTATGGAATTATACTTCATTATAGTGCCTAAATTCTACTCTTCTATATATGGCCATTTACATTTAAAGTAGGATTGTTTCTCTCTTGAAAATAGATTAGATTTTACCTAAAACAAGTGATTTAAGTTTTCCTTCTTAGCTCAATTTAGACTTATTTTTGTCACAATTGAAAAATGCCTAGACAAGATTAAATCTTATAAAACGTAAACAAATATTTTTAAGAAATGGAACCTTATATTACCATGCAGTCACTCAAATTGGGACACTACACTTC